GTTTGATACAAAAGACAATTTTATGGATATTTTACAAAATTAAACCCTTTTTTTTTGTATTTACAACAGGCAGTTAATTTTGCTATTGCATAATATTATGCTTCATTAGAGATTAATTATAGGCATTTAATGGTAAAGTAAAATACTGTGTGGTTTTTGAGTACCCAGGCATTAAAATAGCGACTATTCAGAGAAATTCTCATTATTACCTTGGGATTCATGGATTTATACAGATTTCCTTCTGTTGAATATCTGGATCTGGTCTATCTGTGTTACTGTATCACATTTCTGTAATATTGTCTTGATTGCAAAGATGAGGCATTTTCGCACAAGGTGTGAACAGAAATGGGTTTGTGAAACAACACTGAGCATTCCACACTTTCAGATTTTCTTATTTACACACAAACATCAACAGGTTCAGAAGTTTGATTCGAGCTTAAGACTGAACCAACGCGAGGGCGGAGGCTTGTGAGAGAGTATGAGAGGAGCTGGAGAGGTGAGCGTGTGACGATTGCCGTGTTCAGATGGTCTGTTTTTGGTGTCTTTTATAGCAGCCGTGCAACATTAACCCACAGTGGGTTGAAGTGTAGGGGGGTGGGGATGGGGGGAGGGGGGCATCAAAAGTTTTATACAAGTGGCTTGATTGTCACTTACACAAACATTTACTAGACTTGGAAACAGATTAAAGGAGCATTTCACCCACAGGACATCTGAACGTTGGTCAGTCGCTAGCTTTAGTGTATTTATGTCTGTCAGATGGATGTTTGGTTTGGTCCAGTTTCAAAGGTTTTGTAATGACAGATTAGCGAAAATATTGCTGTTGTTTTTGGTGAAGTGCTCCTTTAAATGTTTTCTTGTGACGTGAAAGCTAATTACATCATGATGGCTTGGCTGTATTTATACAAACTCACTGGAGATTAAACTTGTTGTTTTGGTCTAACATACGCTATTGTTCTTCATTAAAGGAACTGTTTGACTTTTTAAGATAAAGAGAAGTAGATGTGACAATCGATACCACTCTCATGCCTGTATACTCAATATAAAGCCACAATACAATTAGCTTAGCTTGGCTGAAAGACAAGGGAAAAAAAGGAAACATCCAGCTTGGCTCTGTCTAAAGGTAACATAATCCATCTACCAGCAACTCTAAAGCTCACTTAGATGGTATTTATTAGTGTATATTGATTTAATAACTGTATCAAACAGGTTAAAAAGGATGCTGACTGAGTATTTGTTGGCTGGAAGCAGCCGTAGGAGTGTGTGCTAAGCTAACTGGCTACTGGCAACATCTTCATATTTAGTGTACAGACAAGAGAGTGGCTTATAGATCCTCTTAGCTAACTCTCAAAATGTTGAACAATTTCCATGATAAAACCACGGTACAGGGAGTGGACAGCAAGAACTCCGCTAGTGCGGCTTTAGAAATGGCCTCAGAGTTGAATCTGCAATAACTGCAGTGTTATCTATATTATTCATTGCAGGGCTCTCATATTGGAATGCATTAGATGGTACAGCTGTGTTGTGTCCACTCCTTGTATGTTTGTAACCCAGAGCCACAGGTGTCTGTTCTGATCAGACTCACATTGTATCTGAAATCCCTTAAATACGTTGGCAGAAATGTAATTTTCCCAACAACTCTATCAGTTTCTAGACATAAGGGGGGATAAAGCTGAAGTATCTGAGGAGATTTCAAACATTATTCATCAGAGCAAATATTGATTGGCTTGCCACAGACCTCTGTGGCTCTGTGTCAAAATAATACTTATTTAACATTTGTCTCTCTTAATCCTTGGCTTTAAGTTTGAACACAGTAGGACTAAACCATGGGGCCCCTTCTCACCCCTCCTGCCTCCTCACCCTCACCCCCATCTATACAGAGGACCAGTCGGGTCCAGTCATGATCAGCATGCCCATCACTGGCAGGGTAAGGGCAGCAAAAGGTGAACTTAAGCTAGGAGATGAGCTGGGGCTGCACAGGTCGAACAGACTTCCCTGGAAGCGTATCTTCCTGGAGTCCTGCCTCAGAGTCTCCCAGATGGAGCTGACTTCCTCCTGACAGTCGGACAGCGCTGTGAGGGCACATGTGTGGAAAGCTTCCCAGTGGCTGTGGCAAACAAAGGATCATCAGATCAACGACTGCGTTTGCCATTTTACGCACAGTTCATCCCCCGCTACATCATGCAGACTTGCACTGGCTGTTGTGGATTAATTTACTTGCCAATAATCCATCACTCAGATGGCTACGTTGGCTTCAAGTAAGTCAAACTGAGCTTTAATTACCATGGCAACTGCATCAGAGAGTGAAACAATATCACAGATGATATTGCAAGTGGGCAATTTCCAACAGAAGGCTTACGTGTAAATCTTTGTCTTCAGTACACTGTGCCGGGGTTGTAGGGTGCGTGCAGTAACAATGACAAAAAACGTCCCCGGAATTTCATTACTGCTGCAGCAAAGTCATAAATTATTTAGCACAATGGCTCAGTGTCTCAGCACCATTCATTTCTCTATTCTCCCTCGGAGATTATGGCATCTGCTCTCTTTCTCTCCAGTATTTTGCCATTAGATGCGTTCTTCATACTCTATCCGTCTGTATTATGTCACTCAATCATGCACTATTTCACTCAAAATGAACGGAAATATTGTAAATAGATTGTGTGCACAGTGCTGCAGATCTGTGGTTTTTACTAAAGGTGTTTATTCCAACACCTAGTTTGTCTTTCACTTCTGCTCAGTTAAAATCAGTGATGTTTGGTTCACATAAAAACATACAGACTCTATTGGGGATGTCCCACATGCACAAATGGGTGCTGCATGCTGCTCACACACACTCATTATCACCTGCACACGGCTGCCACTCCCCTCTCACTGGTCACGTTCTCCTGGTAGTTGTCCATGCTCTCTCCCAGCTCCAGGACACAGTCAGAAAAGTCCTTATAAATGTTTTCACACCTCACATCTGCAGCGTCTCCTGACACCATCAGGGGGAGGAATACTGCAAAAACAGACACAGCTGACAGCTTCTGTGACCAGACTTTAGAAACCTCTCTAAACTACATCAATTAAATGGAGTAAGTTTGAAAGATGAATCATGCTGTTGTCCCTGACAGATGCACAAGCAAAATTATTATAATTTATTCATTATAATTTGGTGTTTGTCGTACGTGTGAAATAGTTTTAGTCTGGTGACTCTTTTTATATGATCTCCCCACTTCCAGTAGTATCTTTAAGCACTGCTTATGATCATGTAACTTCTTCTTTTATACGAAAAACACAATATTTCATTCAATTTGTTGTTTCATACATACACATAATTAGCAGGTATTTTTTTAAATTCCTGTTAATCTGTGAATTTAAAGATTTTGCAATCATCTAAACTTCACTTTGGACAGATGTCAGTGGGCGATATAAGCAGATGTTATCACAGAGAATAATCCTGACTACTGCAGCCCATATATTCCTTCTACATGGGGTACAATGCTCTGTTCAGAGGCATTTGCAATTTAAATGATAAAACAATATATTCTGCAGGAGGACAACGCAAAATAAACACAAGTAAAGCTGTAAATATCAGTAAAAGTGGCATTTAAGAGAAATAAATCAATTTGTGGGGTTTTATCTCTGAATGTTGCATGTCCTAAAAGCTTGCACACTATCACCTAAGTATAGACATCCAGCATCCACCGTCGATGGGTGTACTACAAGATGTTGGCCACGGCACAGCTGATAACCATCATGCAACACGGATGGAGATAAATAAAGATCACAGCGGTGACATCTCGGGATGCAGGAAGATTAAGATAAAAATGTAAGGCAGTTTCTTTTTTGTCTCTGTTAAATGAACCCAAAGTGGCTCGCAGCCCAAATAAACCCTCGGAGGAGCTTGAGATGTCTTACCCAAGGCAAACGCAAGAATCCCTCCGATCTTCGTCGACATGAAAAATCCCATATCATCCCATTTCAAGCCAAGCGGAGGGCGCGGGATGCTGCCGAGGCACTCATGGATCGGAATTTTAAAAAAAAAAGCGGCGCTGAGTCACACGGAGCTGCTTAGCTGCCCATCATTACCGTGGGTCGGTGTGTATCAGGCATGAAGCGGCGGTGAACACTTGGGTGTGTATGCACAGTGTTTCCCTGCTCCGGCCGACTGCTGACGTTACCTGCCCCCCGGCGCGCGCTGAGCTCATCTTCCCCCCCTCAGCACCGGACAGCTCCCTCTCTCACCTCTCTGAGGGAGGAACCGCCACGCAACCCCCCTGCAAAACTCACGCAACGCAGGGAGGACTCTGAGGATGTCCCTGCCTGTCCTCGGTCACTTTATCGCACTTTATAGATTTTGAATCTCAGTGTTGTCTCGGTGAAGGAGCTGCAGTGTGCTCTCACGGTGCAGCAGCAGCAATATGGTATTACACAGGGATCATAACCCTGCTGCTCCTGAAGGCTCAGTCCTCTTCATAGCTCAGTGCAAAGACTGGGTGCATGAGGGATGGGAAGAAGAGTATCAAAAGTTCTGCAAACATCCCTGTGGCTCAAAACATGGAATTAGAGCTGCACTGATTAGGCCAATAATTGATTAGTTGATCTGCATGAATAAATCTATTATTTTAAAAGGAAATATATCAAAAATGTGATCGTTACAGCTTCTCAAAACACAACAATGTGCTTCTTTTCCTTCTTTACCAAATGATTATTCAGTTAATGAAGAATATAATGGGAGATTAATAAATTACTAAAATAATCTCTAGTTGCAGCCCTGGATGCTGTCACTCACCATTGTTTTTCACTTTACTGAATCTGTGTTCTGTAGATCTTAAAAACATTACTGCACACAGCACAAACTGTAAAGAGAAGGCAGGATAATAATAATAATTAGGAAACTGAGTTATGGGACAAACATACACTTCGTTCACCCTTTTATTGTTTCTGAAAACATTTTCTCCACAAGTTGTGGCACGCAACCTGAAAGATTGCACCACTGGCGCTTAGTAAAGCATTGCTCCACTGAGACTCTTACAACAGTAAGATGAAAAAAAACAAACAGGTAAATGAACCTGCAGAAACCTCTAGAGAACACAGTTTTTAATGTTTGTTGTAATTGCAGCTGCCGTTGCCCCACTTAAAAAACAATATGTGAAGTTTTACAAACCTCAGGCCATATGCGAATAGATGGTAAAATTAGAGGGAAATCTTTGTTTTAATTGCATCAGTTTCTTGTTAACATTAAGTATTTGCTACTTGACACCGCAAAACAGTTTAGATAAGGCACAATGGTGTTTACATGATTACATACAAATGGTTTGATAATGGTTTCATAAAACCCACTTGATTCTAATAATGCCGACAACCAATCTCTAAATAAAATGTCATTAAACTCTGAAGCAATTATTATGATGACTTCACAGCACTCGTACGGGCAGAGAGTATTCAGCTTTCTTCTGGGGGGCATTTCGTACCACAATCCCTGTGTTTTTCCATAAAAAAAAAAATAGGTAATGACTTACTGGTTTATCGTTTATCACATTTCACACAAACAAATACTGATAAAAAGTCCCTTTAAAAATGAACTGTAGTTCAGTCCTGTTAGTGTCTAAATGGTTGCGCTCCGATCCGAGCAGCAGAGTCCAGGATGCTCTTTGGTTGTGATACCAGCAGGCTGAGATCCATACAAACATCTTAAACACGTTGCTCAGGATGGAAATTGGATTCCAGAAATGTTGATCCATTGGAAATTGCAATTGGGTTACTGTGGCGAGGAAATGAGCTTTAAAAGCCTGATGGACAGTATGATGATGGATGGAAACGGGCAGTTTTATTGATCTGCTCCAGCTGCCCTATTGGTTCGTTTCCGTGGAGATGCTTTAGGTGACGCCTTGTCTGTAAGACAGGATGTAAAGATCAGATATTTCTGTTGAGTAACAGTAATATAAGCAAAATATCACCTCTCAAAACAATTGTTTTGACTATATTATTGCTATAAAAATGAACATACTCATGACATTGAGAGTTTCCTGAGGAATCCAGCTGATGTCCACATCGCTCATTCCCCCGGTGCCCTTCTCTATTTTCACTGGGATTCTCTTTTTCTGCAAAAACAAAGGTTAAAAGACAACAATGACAATGTCAAATTTTTAAACAATTTAATCTATGAGCCTGCTTCAATTTCAGTTATGGAGAGAGATTTTACAGGAATGAGGATGGATGACAGCCCTTAATGCGCACTCTATCACATTTGCTGCTGTTGAATTCACACACAGAGATATATATATATATATAAATAAATGTTTTCTCTGTATTAGATAGGACGGCTGAAGATAGACAGGAAAGGGGGTAGAGAGAGAGAGAGAGAAAGAAAGAGAGAGAAAGAGAGAGAGAGACATGCAGCAGCAAGGACTCAGCCTTTGTACGTGGGGCACCAGCTCTAGTAGGTGAGCTATCATCACACAAATATATCTGATTAGACTTGCATTAGCAGAAGAGGGAATAAGTTATTTTATTTAGACCAAACATATTGTAACATAAAATATAGAACAGCTGATATAAGACAAACACATACCGTCCTCGTCTCCAGGACCTGGTACATCCCAAAGAGCATCAGGACCACCAGGCCAACCAGGAAGATGTACATGAACATTCTGCAGAAAACAAACAGTTAAATGTTGGTATGAAACATTTCTGACCTCTCCTAAACATTCTGCAGTTTACATACTAAATAATGTTAAAATTATATTAGTGCACAAGAATAGCACTATTCAAGCAAATAGCTCCTTCATCAGCAAATATAAGTGCATTTTTTTAGTATAAAGTCCAACAAAATTGGCCCCTTTGTGTCCTAAAAGACCTTCTAGTGACCTGTAACTGCAAAATGTTCGTATCTGTTTAGAGATACAGATTTAAGGATGGAAAACAACATTTCTTTCTCTTGATTAATTTGCCGTTGACGGTTTCTGTATCTTGCACCAGCATCCCAATTCTGACAACTGATCTCTTTGTGCCAATTTCACACCTCCTTTTACAGGTTCTTACATGTGCTGAATTCCACTGGGGGAGCTGGTATTGTGAAGCCGCAGAGAGCTGGAAGTAGCCTTAAGGGACGTGGAAAATAAGTAATAAGTGGGCAAAATAATTACACACAATTTACATACACCTGAGGTGCAAAAATTGGTTTAATACATCCACCCACTACCTACTGTGATTTCTTATTTTAGTGCTACGCTATAGTTTGTGGCCTTCCATTTTAAATAATATGTGCAGTCTGTACGATTGAAGACAAAACATGAAACCAGTAGAAGAAAGCCTTACGTTTCTCCGTCCAGACCCTCTTCTAGCTCAGTGATGGTGACAGTCTGGTTGTAAATGGCAGTCTGGAACACGCTACCCTGAAGAAGAAACATAAAGGAGAAACTAGTAAGCAAGTACCTTGACCTTTCAAGAACTTTGTTAAAAGTATCGGAATGTCAATATGACTCAGCATTTATCACATCATTCATTAACAACACAGAAACAACAGTCAAAGCTCAGCAGGTAGAGAATGACAGAAAGGAGACACCAGTAGTGCCAATTATACCAAAACGGGAAAACAATGCAGCCGTTACATAAACACAAACTGCTTTGCTGACAATGGCTTCTTCAGGTTGTAATTTTCATGAATCATCCAAATTTGAGGTGGGCTGTGAAAAACCTTCCTGTGGAGCATCCTGACAGTCACCGTCTAACATCATCCCACCACATCTATTCTCTGAAAACTGAAGCCAGAACAGACCTCGAGCACCAACCACCAATATTTTTCTAGAAATAATGAAAAACCTTTTTTACCTCAGAGTCGAGATAATTGAGGAGGATAACGAGGCCGAATGGACGGCCTGCCATGGGCTGGGCTGGGATGAAGGAGTACTCGAAGGAGGCCTGAGCCTGGGGTTGCACTACGGTGTTCAGAGGCAAAGCTGTGAACTACACAAAACATACATCATTAAAAACACTGAGATATGTACGGTAAATAGTTTTTGTTCGCTTTTTATGCGTTAAGTGGCAAAAACAGATGGCAAAACATTAGAAAAATGTAGAAATTTGAAATTTGAATATAGGAATCTATGAAATGACATCAAAATCAAATTTAAAAAAAACTAATAATTTAACATACAATTATACAACCACATCACAAAAGCATATTCGTTACTTTGAGACACACAGGTTCAGAGTTTGTTTTTGATCAGGTAGAGCGACGTTTGCCTGTGGTTTCCATTTCAGATCAAACTTACATTCTGAATGTAGAACTGGAAGTCTTGGGGGTAGCGGAAGGAGGCCTCCAGAGACTGGACGGTGAAGTCCTGACCTCCCTTGTTGGTGAAACCCACCAGGAACCTCACGATTTCATTGGCGGGAAACTCTGAATTTGTTACGGACACAAACAAATAATATAGATAATTAAAAACATTAGTACAAATAAAGTAAAGAAAGGAGGTAAAGGAAACCTGAAAATAGAGCCAAACCAACCTTCTCCTGTCATGAAGATGATGGTTGTGTCGGCATCGGGGTGAGACGTTAACAGTTTATCAGCTGCTTCATCCGAATCATCTTCGTCTCCTTCCTGAGGAAGAGGAATGTAACATGGCATTGCTACTTGATCATCTGCATGTAAACCAGGGGTCTCAAAGTTAAACTCTCAACTGGGGCCACTGCTGATATTGTTACCTTATAGGAGGGCCACTTGAACATTCAAATACT